ACCGTTATATGGGGGCTATACGAAGACATGGACTTGCACAGACAATTTTCTGTCTTAGGCTGTAGTATCCATTTCGAACTTCAAAAGCCAAATTTGAAACAATTCCGGTGAATAATGTAGCTAAAATCATCGAAATACCGAATATCGGGAGGTACCGTTATATGGGGGCTATATGAAAACGTGGACCTACATGTCCCATTTACGAACTTAACCTGCCTACTGGAAAAATAAACATGTGTGCAAAATTTTAGCCACCTATCTCAATTCATTCGAAAGATAGCGTGATTACAACAGACAGACAGACGGACAGACAGACAGACAGACAGATGGACAGACAGACGGACATCGCTAAATCGTCTTAGAATTTTACGCTGATCAAGAATATATATACTTTGTTGGGTTGACATGAGTATTTCGAGGAGTTACAAACGGAATGACAAAGTTAATATACCCTCCATAGTATGGCGGAGGGTATAAAAAAAGACGAATAAAAATCCACCCACAAAATTATAAAGAACACAAAAAAAAAGATGATAAAGAAAAACGAACAACATATCGTTTATGAAAATGGGGAAAATTAAAATGTCTTTATGTCGTCTTGAAAGTTGGCATATACAGAAAATTCGAAGAATTAACCCATTAGTGCCTAGTTGCAAATATATGGGAGAACATGCAATCAATATACCTTAAGTAATAATAATCCTATGTAGTAGACCCGACGTTTATGTGCCGAATATAAGTAAAACAATTAAATTAAAAAAAAAAACGTGTTAAAAAGTATCAGTCGGTTTTGCCGACAGATGTATACCTTCAGCCAATGTTCGATTATTTAAATATATTTTGACTTCTGTTATGATTATTTAAATTTTTGACCCCTCTATGGCGCAGGTTCCGAAAGAATAGGCCAACATTTTCCATTTCCATTATCGGTCCTAAATAAATATGATATAAATATTGCGATGTGCCTGGTTTGGGACTATATCGACTACTTCCTTCACTTTATATGTGAAAATTTTTAGAAAATATTAAAATGTGCGTGAGGTACCACATATAGTCGACAGAACTCTTCCATTTTCACACCTCATCTAATACAGATAAAAATATTGGTATGGGCAAAATTACAAGATCGAGTCGAACATTTATATCTAAATTTATGTGAAATTATAAATTCCACAAAATCTTGAACTCTATGTATGGGAGGTACCAGAAGAAATGGTTCGATCTCTACCATGTTTATAACAGATCTTGTGTTGATGGAAATATTGAGATTTACCAAGTCTGAATGGAATCGGATGTTAATTTTGTGTTTCATGAGCTTCGCTAATATTCAAAATTTTGACCCATTTTGGGGGAGGTAGAAGAAGGAGTGGACCGATGTATCCCAATTTCACACCAAACCTTGGTTTATTAAAAAATATTGTACCAGTAGGAGTGGACCGATATATTCCATATTCACAAGAGGCCTTGGGTTATTAAAAATATTGAGATGTGTGAAATTTGAAGAGAATCGGATGCTTATTTCGGATTTTATGATCGTTTTTATTATTCAAAACTTTGACCCTTTGTGGGGGAGGTAGCAGAAGAAAAGGTCCGATTTGTACCATCTTTATAACAGATCTTGCGCTTATGAAAATATTGAGATGTTTTAAGTCTAAATGGAATCGGATTTTAATTTCGCGGTTTATGAGCTTCATAAATATTAAAAAAATATTGAACCTTTGTGGGACAGGTACCAGAAGCGGCGGATCGATATATCCCATCTTCACCGCATATCTGGTTTTAGTAGAAAAAATGATATGTTTGAAATACAAAGAGAACCGGATGCTTGTTTCAGATTTTATAATTGTTTTGGGTATTCAAAACTTTGACCCTTTGTGGGGGAGGTACCAGAAGGACTTTTCCGATCTCTATCATTTCTATCAGATCTTGTATTGAAGGAAATATTGAGATTTACCATGTCTGAATGGAATCGGATTTTAATTTCGCGGTTTATGAGCTTCATAAATATTAAAAAAAATATTGAACCTTTGTGGGACAGGTACCAGAAGCGGTGGATCGATATATCCCATCTTCACAGCATATCTGGTTTTAGTAGAAATAATGGGATGTGTGAAATAAGAAGAGATCCGGAAGTTTATTTCGGATTTTATAATCGTTTTGGTTATTCAAAACTTTATAATTATGCAACATTTTAACCCTTTGTGAGGGAGGTACTTGATAGAGTGGCCTGATATTGTCAATTTTTGCACCTAACCAAGCACTGATGGAATTGTTAGGATTTGCAAAGTTGGAGCAACATCTCATTATCCTTTCTCTTTCTGTGCAGTAAAATATATTTTGGGAAAAATTTGACCTTTTGTGGGGGAGGTACCACAAGGAGTGGGCCGATATTTCCCATCTCCGAACTCTATTGATGTTTTATAATAATATTACGATGCACCAAGTTTGGATCAAATCGGATACTCCCTTCAAGAGTTAGCCAGACAGACAGACAGATGGACGGACATCGCTAGATCGACTCTAAATATCCTGAAACGGATTTGGTCCAAAGAGACCTGGGGTCTATAACCTTTATTTCGATGAGGCACGTTTTGGCTGTATCAAATGATATATACCCTCTGTAGTCATATAATTCTAATACTTTTTCCCAAAATTCTCAAAAATGTTGAGCATTGATTTCCTCAAAAATTTAAAGAGAATTTCTAAACTGGATTATGTTTATCTTTATAATATCGGAAAAAACTTCCAAAGTTAAAAGATTCTGACACGTTCTGAAACTCAGCAAACACATCGATTTTTCAAAAAATTTGCTTTTTGAATTTAAAATGCATTTTTTACCAAATTGGAACATAGTTCCCCAATGGGTTAATAAACATATATACATTATTGTTATTATTGCTTTTTTCACACTTTTCCCAAATTTCCTACAAAAAAAAATATGTTGAGATTTTTTTCTGCCATTGAAAATATCAAAACAATTGCAAACCGACTGACGTTCGGTCGTGTGTCTCAGCCCCATCCATAAAGTAGAGAGTTGGAGGTGAGATGATAAAAGAGCTCTGACCGGGAAAATTTTTTGCATTTTAACGAGGGAATTTATTAAGTGTTATTTCAATATTTAAAAGAATATACATATATTTAACACATCAAATTGATCATTTGCCAAGAAAAAAAGAAATCCTATAATAAATAAATCATTTCAAAAATTTCAAAAAAAAAAAATATTTTTTTGTTGGCACAAAGAATATTTGACTCAGACCGTCAAAGAAGACAAAAGGAAAATTTTTTCGTCATTCATCACCTTCAAAGAAATTGAAGATTATGGATACGGAGAGGCAGACATAAATAATTTTTCTCAACAATATTAAATTTCATTCTAGAAAATTAATGAAAATAAAGACGAAAATCTAACACACGGACAATTTACAATTTCTAACACGCAACACTGGACTCTTAGATATCTTAAAAATAAAAATAAGAATTAGGAAACTCATCAGTCCGACCGGGATTTGAACCTGCGTTTCCAGGCCACATACCTTAAGTTTTCGAGTGCATCTACTATACATTTTTCCTATGAACGCTGGTTCAAATCTCAAGTGGGCCAAGAATTTTATATATTTCTTTAAGTGAGAGATGCGTCTAGGGACGCTTTCTCTAAATGAGAATGCTCCAAAGACCCTTTTCTTACCAAAAATACTTCTATAGCAGCTAAAGCAGTCTCGAATGGAAAAGTATAAATAAACCAAACTTATTCTCTCTCTTTCTCTTTCTCTCTCTCTCGATTTTATTTGCCGTTGATTAGAAAGAGCGTGAGAGTCTCGATATTGTGAGCATCATTGTTTTAGATATGCTTTCTTCAAGAATGGGTCATTTTTCCCTAAGGGAAGGATGACCCACTAATCTTTTTTTAAAGAAAAGGGTACTAAGTACTTTTTATACCCTCCACCATACTATGGAGGGTATATTAACTTTGTCATTCGGTTTGTAAATCCTCGAAATACTCATGTCAGACCCAACAAAGTATCTATATTCTTGATCAGCGTAAAATTCTAAGTCGATTTAGCGATGTACGTCTGTCTGTCCGTCTGTCCGTCCGTCTGTCTGTCCGTCTGTCTGTTGTAATCACGCTATCTTTCGAATGAATTGAGATAGAAGGCTAAAATTTTGCATACATATATATTTTGCTAGTAGGCAGGTTAAGTTTATAAATGGGCCATGTAGGTCCACGTTTTCATATAGCCCCCATATAACGGTACCTCCCGATATTCGGTATTTTGATGATTTTTCATTATTCACCGGAATTGTTTCCAATTTGGTTTTTGAAGTTCGAAATGGATACTACAGCCTAAGACAGAAAACTGTCTGTGCAGGTCCACGTCTTCGTATAGCCCCCATATAACAGTACCTCCCGATATTCGGTATTTTGCTGATTTTAACGACATTATTCACAGGAATTGTTTCAAATTTGGTACTTGAAGTTCGAAATGGATACTACAGCCTAAGACAGAAAACTGTCTGTGCAGGTCCACGTCTTCGTATAGCCCCCATATAACGGTACCTCCCTATATTCCGCACTTTGATGATTTTAGCGACATTATTAAACAGAATTGTTTAAAAATTGGTATTTGATGTTCGTAATGGATACTACAGCCTATGACAAAAAAAATTGGCAGAAAATTGTCTATGCTGGCTCAGGTCTTCGCACAGCTCCGATATAACGCTACCTCCCTTTATACGATATTTTGATGATTTTAGCTACATTATTCACCGTTTATTTCAGGTTCCAAATTATAACGGCAATATTCGGTATTTTTAAAATTTTAACAGAATTTTTTAAGGATTTTATTTCCAAATTCGTTCCAAATGGTGGAGGGAATGCAAAGTTCGACCCAGCCGAACTTAATGTTTTTTAACTTGTTTTACTTTTGTATATATATTTTTTTATTTTTATATTTTTGGCATTTAGTTTTATATTTTGACAAAAATTAAATTTAACTTACCATAATCTGAAAGTTTGACTTTCTCTAGGAACGGATCAGCAACAGGCAACTGAAAAATAAGACAGAAAAAAATTAGTTTAATTTTTTATTTATTTATTTTTTTTTTTTCCAAAGAAGTAAACTTAAAAAAATCAATTACTTATTTGAAAAAAAGTAATGGGAAAATATTTTCAAAATATTGGTTTGTAATTCGGGCTCAACTCATTTATTGCCCGGTGAGTTTTACACAAAAAAAAAAAAAAAAAAATAGGGTTCGTTTAGATAACGAGTCATATGTCTTTATTATTTGCAGTCTTACAGTCTATTTAGCGCACAGGTCTTTATTTCACTTAGTAAACTGCTTTACTTGACGACGTTTAAAGTCACACTTCAATTCTAAACTGGCTTGCTTCTACTCACTCGTTGGTCCCCATCTATACATGGAAGTTTTAGGAATAATAATCCTGGTCGTTCTACAATGCTCCAACGAATTGGAAATCCCAGAAATATTTATAAACATCAATAATTTGAGATTCAAGAGCAGTTAGTACTTCAAAAAAAAAAATAAATGGATCTAAGATTGAATTCTAGCTCTTTTTATACCCATAGTTAGAAAGAGTATATATCATTCGATAAGGCCAAAATTTGCCTCATCGAAATAACGGGTTTAGAACCTAGGATTCTTTGGACCAATTTATTTATTTCAGGACATTTGGAGTCGGTCTGGCAATGGCCGTCCGTCCGTCGGTCTGTCAAAAAAAGAAATACTTTGCTGCTCAGACAGGGAAAGGATAACCCGATATTACTCCAAATTTGCAAGTCCAAATATTTGCATCAGTGCTAGGTCAGGTGCGAAAATTGACAATGTTGGTCCACTCCAGCAAGTAGAATAACTAAAACGAGCATAAAATTCGAAATAAGCATTCAATTCTCCTCACATTCCACACATCCCATTATTTCTACTAACACAACATCTGGTGTGAAGATGGGATATATCGATCCATTTCCTCTGGTACCTCCCCCACAAAGGGTCAAAATTTCGAATACCCATGAATTTCATAAAACGCGAATTTAAAATCCGATTCTATTCAGACTTGGTACATCTCAATACTTCCATCAACACAAGATCTGTTATAAAGATGGAAGGAATCGGACCATTCTTTCTGATACCTCCCCCACAACACGTCAAAATTTTGAATAACCAAAAACGATCAAAAAATCGGAAATAAGCATTAGGTTCTCTTCATATTTCACACATCCCATTATTTCACCTAACACAAGATCTGCTGTGAAGATGAAATATATCGGTACACTCCTTCTGGCACCTCCCTCACAAAGGGTCAATATTTTGAATACCATGAAGCTCATAAAACACGAAATCAATATCCGATTCCATTCAGACTTGGCACATCTCAATATTTCTCTCAACACAAAATCTGTTATAAATATAGTAGAGATCGGAACATTTCTGTTGTGAAGATGGAATATATCTGCGAACCTCTTCTTGTACCACACCCACAAATTATCACAATTTTCAATATTTTTATCTTTCATAGGTTGCGAAACGCGTCAGCGATTCTTTACAATATGCTACATCTAAATATTTCTCTCAGCCACAAACCTAAGATGAATACTGAATTTATGATTTCGCATAAAATTGAATGAAAATGTTTGATTTTCTTGTAATTTTTCCCATACCAATATTTTTATTTGTATTAGATGAAGTATGAAAATGGAATACTTCGGCCGACTATATGAGGTACCTCACCCACATTTTAAAATTTTCTAAAAATTATCACATATCTCATAAAAAGTAAAGGAAGTAGTCGATATAGTCCAAACCTGGCACGTCGCAATGTTTATATTATATTTATTTAGGTCCTATACAAAACTGGACAATATTGGGCCATTCCTTCGGAACCTAATCCATAGAGGGTCAACAATTTGAAAAATCAAAAACCAAAATATATTTAAATAATCGAACAGTGGTGGAGCACCCACCCTAAGAAGGGAGGGTGTAAGGAGTGAACTGATATTGTCCATCTTCGAATTCGATTTAAGTTTGATAATAATATTACAATGTACTAAGGTTGGACCTAATCGTATACTTCCTACGAGAGTTATCGTGCGCACCAGCCAGACAGACGGGCGGCTTTGTAAAGCCATCTAAATCACCATCTTGTGGATAGGCAACCTCCGCCCAGACCTTCATGATCTAGAGAGAGAGGTACAGAGGTATAAGAGAGAGCCTCTAGATCAACAGGCCTATCAAGCGGGACTGAATAGTATTCACTCTAATGCGGTCTCAGAAGCCATTGAAGAATATAGAGTGAATACTGTGCTAGGAGACCATCCCACTCCCGTCGCAGCTGAAGAACGAGAGCTGCCCCGACAAACCCGAGTAGTTTTGGCTCAATTACGATCCCGATGGTGCAGCCGCCTAAATTCCTACTGGGCCCGGATTAACGACGACGTGCAGAACATCTGCCCAGCATGTGGCACAGGCCCACATGACACGCTGCACCTATTTCGCTGCCCAGCCAAGCCTACTCACCTAACTCCAGTCTCGTTATGGACACAACCCATACAGGTTGCATCCTTTTTGAGACTGGACATAGAGGCAGAACCTGATTGAATTGAGTCAGAAAATGGAAACCGAACGAACACAGATGTATGAGCTGTTACAACAACAACAACAGACGGGCGGACGGACAGACATCGTTAGATCGACTCCAAATGTCCTGCAACGGATTTAGCCCAAAGAGACTTAGGATCTAAAACCGTTATTTCGACGAGGCACGTTTTGGTCGTATCAAATGATATATACCCTCTCTAGCCATATGACTGAGGGTATAAAAATTAAAATATTTAATTGCTAGGGTTTCTTAGCACATCCTCAACCCTAATCAAAAGTATCTGAATCATCATATCCAGAATCAAGGTTACAGTGAAATGTTTAAAAGGTCCAACTCCTAGAGCAATAGTCGTACTTTATCTAATGCCGCCACAATGCCATCCACAATGAAGGAATTTGTGCTATAATTGCCTCCTGACGGTGCAGGGAGCTTTTCTATCTTGAAGGCTGCTTAAATCTGCCAAGAATTAGTGGTTTTCAAAACTCTATCAAATTCAATGATTTTAACTGAAATTCCAATATTTTGGTATTGAAAAGCTGCTTCCACTCAATATTGTTTTTTTTTTCGACATTTTGGAGTATACAATAAATAAATGAGTTGATTGTGGTTGCAAAAGATAACATACCACCAGCGTGGCCGATCAACAACGCCAGAGATATGGCGGTTATATTTGTAGTTGGTTTTTATCAGAATGGTCAGAGCTTTGTTGCTCTTCACAATTGTACTTTGTTTAAAGTTTATTTACCTTGTCAATAGGTATGTTATTTATTATACCCTACACCACAAGGTGGTCAGGGTATTATGCCTTTGTGCATTTGTTTGTAACAGGCAAATTTCATATTTCCTTCCTTGATGATCTGCATAGAATCACATTCTGAGTCGATTTATGCATGTCCGTCTGTCCATGTATTTTTGTAAACAAAGTACAGTTCACATTTATTACCCGATCCAGATGAAATTTTGCACAAATCATTTGTTTGGCCCAAGGACGAACCCTATTGAAATTGGAGATAATCGGTCAAAATTTAGAAATAGCCCCCATATAAATCTTCGTCCGATTTGCCTTTTATTGTGCACCAAACGTGTAATATCAGCCCGAATAGTATGGAATTTTGCACATACAATCAAATTAGGCCTGAAAATAAGTATGCCAAATTTGATCGAAATCGCTTCAGATATAGCTATAGCTCCAATATATATTTTTCATCCGATTTGTTATTTTAGACCTCCGCAGCCGTAATATGCACTCTGTTATAACAATACTTGGGGAAACATATCAAATACAGCTCAGAAATACCTTTGCTAAATTTTATCGAGATCGGTTCGGATTTGGATATATCTCCCATATATAACTTCGTCCGATTTACCTTTTATAGGTGCACCAAACTAATATTTGCCCAAATGGTATGAAATTTGGCACATACGATTGAATTGAGTTTAGAAGCTAGTATGTTAAATTTGGTGAAGATCGGTACAGATATATCTACAGCTCCCATATATATTGTTTATCCGATTTGTTATTTTAGACCTCCGCAGCCGTAATATGCACTCTGCAACAACAATATTTGGAGAAATATATCAGATACAGCTCAGAAATACCTTTGCTAAATTTTATCGAGATCGGTTCGGATTTGGATATATCTCCCACATAAAACTTCGTCCGATTTACCTTTTACAGGTGCACCAAACGGCTAATATTTACCCAAATGGAATGAAATTTGGCACTCACGACCGAATTTAGTCTAGAAGTTAGTATGCCAAATTTGATCGAAATCGCTTCAGACATAGCTATAGCTCCAATATATATTTTTCATCCGATTTGTTATTTTAGACCTCCGCAGCCGTAATATGCACTCTGCAACAACAATATTTGGAGAAATATATCAGATACAGCTCAGAAATACCTTTGCTAAATTTTATCGAGATCGGTTCGGATTTGGATATATCTCCCACATAAAACTTCGTCCGATTTACCTTTTACAGGTGCACCAAACGTCTAATATTTGCCCAAATGGTATGAAATTTGGCACTTACAATTGAATTGAGTCTAGAAGCTAGTATGTTAAATTTCGTATGAAGATCGGTACAGATATAGCTACAGCTCCCATATATATGGTTCATCCGATTTGTTATATTTGTTACCCACAGCCGTAATATGAACTCCGTAACAACGATATTCAGGGAAATATATGTGAAATAAAGCTCAGAAATATCTTTGCCAAATTTTATCAAGATCGGTTCCGATTTGGATATAGCTCCCATATATATCAAATGGGCAATACAAGTCCGAATTTAAAAGATACAAATGCTTCGGCATATTTAGTCCTTTGAACTTTAAATTATGATTATAATCACAGCTTGTATGATTGAATTCTCCCATAAAAACTTTTAATTGTTATGTGGATCTCTACTAAATTAGCAAAGTGGTGTAGGG